ATGAAAAAGCAGGAACCTTTGCACAAGATACTTGAACAGAGATATGAACAAGAGACAGATAATTTCCAATAAAAACACACAGTCTTTATTGCTTTCCCCGCAGGGCACAACAGCTATTGCAACAGATAGATTACATAAACACTTCTATAGAACATATCCTACAACATGTTCTACCCAGAGTTACGCGATATCACACACACGTGATTCGCTCCTAAACATGTTTCTAATCTATCCAATGTAACGCAACAATAGTTACGAAACCTATCTCTTTCACTCAACACAACAGATCAAATGGCTCTCACTGTTTATGAGTTCTTCAAAGACGTATTTCGGAAGAACTAGTCGGCATATGAACTATCCTCCCTCCTTTTATAGTAGTAGCAACCAGCAACTCCTATAGCCCTAAAAACAGCTCCCCCTTAATTCGAAAGGGCAACAGAACTGTTTCTGTTGATGTCATACCACCAGTCCCATCAACCTTTGATCAACAGTAAGTAATCCCACTTGCACATTGACTTTGTGCACTTGTGTCAGACCTCCTTGTTTACCGAACCTGAATTCCCGCGTACGCTTCGTGGTAGTGCGGTTCCCAACTCGAGGTGCCACCTGGCGTGTCTAGTCACAAAAAGACTTTTCTCCTTAGTTTGCTGATTATTCCTTCCAGCTTCTTTGTAGCACACGAACTCTTCATTGCTTCGCTGATCCTGTTGCTTCAGCAGATTCTTCTGCACTAACATATGTAGTACTTGGTTTGAGGGGAGGATTTTGGGATATCAATCCAAGTCCCACATCGGAAGGTTAGACATGAATTGTCTAGTATATAAGAGATGTCCAACTCTAATTAGTATGAGACATTTTGGGAAGGAGCCCAAAAACAAATCCGTGCGGACTTTGCCTCTGGGTCCAAAGCGGACAATATCATACTAATGGGAGGAGTTAGACATGGGCATGGAAAGCCCAACAGTGATCGCGGGTATCCTCTGCATTATTACACAAACTGCACACAACATTCATCCCCAAATTATGATTTCGCATCTAGTCACCCGTTGTTAAACAGTTCATAATAGCAAGCCACAACATAAATTAGTACTTAAGGGTAGAGTGTTTGAACTACACCCCCTTGTACCATGCATTTGTGGTCCATTTAGTTCGAGTGAGGTGCCAAGTGTGTTTTATCACAAACCGATGCTTAAACTTGTCCTCCGAGAACTTCCACACTAATATATCAGCCCCTAGCTTATGTTTCCTCTTTGCTCTTTCGGTTGCCTCTTCCATTTGAAGAAAGGTGTGAGGCTCTATATTTTCGACGTTGATGATTAGAGAAGACTTTGTCCACACTAGCTGATAAAGAGATGCCCATATCAATGGCTTCTCGAGGTCCCCCTATATATACTTTGTCTCAATGAATTTAAATTAGGCTAGATTTCTATATATACTTTGGTATTTAATTGGTTACAAAGAATTTAGATCACGAAAATTAACTAAAAGGATACAAAAAGAGTAAAAGGTTTATTTTGGTGGACTCTAAGAGAGAATTTCTTGGATCAAACCAGACAAGATAAGTTTCTCTAAGTCAGCTACAGCTTGATGAGTTTCATCGATCTGAAACTCACTTCTCCAACCCAAATCCCAAACTCCACTTGTCATCTCTGTCTTCTTACTCTTTAAATCCTTCTCCAAAATCATGTGGATGCTCTCTTTAACAAAGCTGTTCTGTCCTAAGAACGTGTCTCTGTAACTTTTCATGGACTCAAACCCATCACAGACTTCCATTAACAACTCATCAATGTCCACAGAGCTTCTTTGGGGGCAAGTTGGTTCCGCAATGAGAAGAAGGCTTCTCCTTTTGGCTACTTCTTTGCCAAAGTCTAGTGCAAGTCTTTGGTCTGAGATCACAATGCTGTCTCTGTTATGAAAGGTTGATTCTTGGCTTCTTTTGGTGTTGGTGTTGAACTCGAAGAGATTATCTGCGTAGGTGATGAAATCTGGGGAGTTGGATAAGAATGATTTAAGAAAGATTTGGGAGGTTTCTGGCTCACGAGAATGCTGAACTGTAGCTGCACAAGAAGTAACTTCTCCGTTGTTGCAATGGCCTTTACAAGAACAATAATAACAGAGTAGATATATATGAGGAGATGCTTAGAAGAAACAAACTTTGAAAACATTCTCAGAGTTAAGAACTTTGTGTAGTACTAACCTTGAATGTGAAGCTCTGAAGAAGTGGTTTCCTCTGCAGAAAGTTGGTTTATTGATCCGCGTGTGTCCTGTGACGAACCTGAATTATTCTCCGAAGCGAGGTCATTGTCTTGTTGATGGAGTTTCTTCTTGGCCTATATGAGAAACAGAGTTAATGAGGGTATGTAAAATTAGAAATGAAAGTTATGCATTGAGGCAGTGAGAAAGATTGCTCACATTTGGTCTACTAGCCTCACCAGACTTCTTTAACCGAGTATTACTTTTCTGCTCATCACTACTAGAGCTCGAGCTCAACCTGGAACTCCGACTCTTGTTACTTGACATGTCTGCAGGACTGCTCCGTTTCTTGTGAGTCGTAGGATTATTCGGTGGCTTAATAGCACGGTCATGAGCTCTACATCTATCTTTTCCTTCACCAATATCCTCCTTCTTGACGTGACGCTTTTTGTTGGTTTCCATCGGTTTTCGTTCTCTTGTTACAGGTTTGGCATTGCTTGTAGACATTAGCTTCATCACCTTACCTTCATTCCCTTCAACTTTGCGCACCATTTCTTTCGGTTCTCTTTCTTTCTTGGTCAGACTTAATGGTAGTTTCATTTTGTTGCAGCTTTTTTTACTCGCTCCCTTGGCTTGATGATCTTTTCTCTGGTTAATCATTTTTGGATGAACCTCCCCTTGCATTCTCGGTTTCCTGGGTAAAACCGGCCTTTTGTTTCCCGGTTTTTCTTCCATTTCCTGCTGTACAATGCGCATAGGTCTGATGAGTACAATAGTTGAGGAGGGATTCTCACTCTGAAGCTCTTCAGGCAAAGATTGTACAAGAGCTTCTCTTGTAGAGTTGTTGCATCTCACAATTTCATGACTCTCTTTCTTCTTATTCTTCAGCTGCTCTTGTCTTTCTGTTGAAAGCTTTATGATATCCGGCTTATCAATGTGATTCACCGTGCTTTTGTTCGGTTCTTGAGGAGATACATCCAAACCCATAAGCCTAGCAATCAAACTTGGGGCTTTCCGTGGAATATCAGATGATGCAGAGGACTTTGTAGAGCCAGAGACCATAGAAGATTGGCTCGAGCTCGTTGATGACGACGCAGCTCCAGAAGAGGAAGCAAAATCACTTCTAACAACGCGAGTCTTAGTCGTTGTAGTTGTAGTTTGTGGCAGAAGATTCTGCCTAAGAAAACTCTCTCTAATCACTTTCCTTAGCTCTTCATAACAATCTCTTGATGCTCCATTCTCTTGACTCATCATCCGTTTCTCGATCCGCTCTCCAAATCTATCAGACATTGATCTCTGAAACCGCAAATCGCTTCTTCCGTCTTTACTACTAATCCTCGGTTTCTGTTTGTTATCATCCTCTTGTATACTACTAAGCATAGCTAAAGACTCTTCCAAATCAAGCGCGCCTCGTAACAAATCTTTCGCTATATCCTCAGGCCTCGCAGCTTCATAGCTCAACCCTTTAGACCATGACTCAATCGCAACGTTTAGTTTCTGAATCCCTTTAGAGACTCTCAAGAGCTGCAACGAAGAAGCTTCCTCGGTGCTCTTCCTCGGCGCCATTTCGGATCTTTCTTTGGCTTTTAAAGGTTGGTCACATCTCTGGTTAGTACCATTACAAATGCTACTACGGCTTTTACTACTCTGTTTCTTTATGGCTCCACATTCCACAACTCCTCTTGGATCATCACACATTATGAATGATCTGTAAACTCCTGATCTCAGTTTCCCTTCAGGCATTGTCTTCTTTTTCTTTTCTCTGAAACAAAAATTCAAGAAACTGAGTCAAACTGAATGAGATCTCATCAGACATAAAACATTGTTAGGATCTTTTAAAAACAGATCAAACTCGATCTGGTGCCATAACTGAAGCAGAGATATTCAAAATACGATTTTTAAGATTGTCCTACAAAAACTGAGACACAAAATTCCAGGAAAAAAATTCTTGAAAACTAACCAAAATTGGAGCTTTTTTTGTCTCCAATTCGTCTTCCTCTGAAATTAAAACTTGTCTTCTCAAAAAAAAAATTATCAAGAAATTACTCGGCGATAATGTGAGACTCAGATTACAAAAATGAGGAAATTCCGATGAAACCGAACGAATAGTCTTGAACCCAGCATCGCCTGCA